AGTAGCATCGTAAAACTGCAAGCAGAAGACGAATGGATAAGTAATGCGGACGAGGAGACGCGAGAAACTACTTGCCACTGCATAAATTACTGGTTTTGTTTACTACCTCCCAGTTGAATAATATACAAACTGAAAGCATGCTTTTAAGGGACTGTTAAAATGTTTTTTTTCAAAATAAAAAGCCTAACTGCTGAAGGTAAAGAGGTTTCCGATAGAGCCCAGCTGGACCGTGCATATGAAACTCGGCGACAAAAAGGACCCCCTTTTGAACCAGATCTATGCTCACCGTTTCGATTAGGAAGACCAAATCATCATGCCTTCTTTTGGGCCGGCTGACGTTAGCAGTCATTAATTTCGTCATTATTATTAGTATTTATTTTCGGTGTTCGTGGTTGGCCGTAAGGATGCGTCAACACTCTTCTTGGTAGGAAGATAAAACAACTGGAAAATGCAAAAAGGACGACGGTGATATGCATCCCACTTTGTTGCGCCTGTGTTTTTATCCTACCTACACTCCCTTTTTTAATTGATCTAAAGCGGCTGGTGGTCATATATTTAAACTGACTTGAGGGTTGCCTTCATTCAGCGACCCTTATAGGAGGACCGAAATCATGATTTTCAACGAGTAATCCGCCTGTGATTATTCTCTTCTCTCTTCCCAGAAGTATTTCCTGTCTAATTATTTTTCTTTCGTCATGATATCGACTGGGCAGGTGCAAATGAAAATTCCCGTTGTGATATAATTATAGGTCCGCGCACGCCACTCTAGAATGATTATGGATATTACCAGTGCAAATATTATAACAGTATAAGATTAATTGTTTCATGTTATTAATAGAACTATCTTGTCGAACTTAGTTCTATATTATATAGTATAATATTATCATTCAAACGATATGACCTGCGCCTGCGACTTGAGCAGATGATTTTACGAAAAATTCAGCATAAAATCTGGTTCAAATCTAAGTCACAGATGTTGGTTTTTTTGGTTGCGCCTTCGCCAATTAGTAAGCACAGATAAGACAGGAAAGGCTATTTTCATTATCATCGCCGTCGTCATCGTCATCATCGCTAATAGCACCTCTCAATTTCCAGTGTATCTTAAAAGCTACAGCAATATTAGGCCATTCAACAAAAAACGCGTGCAGTCCAAACTAAACATCTAAATGGGATTTGATTAACGGTGAGTGCAAAGAATAGCTGGTTATGTTTTGCAGAATTTACGATGATAAAGTGTTCATTTTTCGTCTTTCAACAATACGTATATATAAGTTGAGCTTCCTATCTTTCTCAGTAATTAGTGGAAGCCACAAAGTGTCCAGCCGGCATTCCTACCGTTCCAAAATTTCTCACGTGCATGCACACATCTTGACAGTCGGTCACCGAAATGACCTAAATACACTGTGACAGAAAAACAGTTAGGCACCATACGCAGAAAGGTCAACAGGGCCATGTTGGTTTCCAGTATAGGACCTCAAAGCTTACGTAATTAATTAATATACGCTTGCTGCACAGAACAGGGCACAAAGACGGCTCATATGTGCCACACGATTTGATGGGCTGCTTTAAACTCTGCCAACAGAAATCTTTTGGGAGAATAAGATTGCTGATCGTCTAGCGAAGCTTAAAATACTACGGTAAATCGTTCTCTACCACAAGTGGAAGCGTCCTAGACAGTTGATGAATGCCAGTCAGGCACCAAGTCTGCTTTGAAAGCCTCACTTTTTTACTTACGCGTAATGTTGGCCTCATATATCACGAAGGAGTATGACGTTACCCCGTTCTATAACGCGCTATCGTTTGACCTCATTTGAAATTAGCTATAAGAAAAAATAACCCAATTTGTCTACGGAGTAGCTGTAAAGTAACAAACCTACATTATCTAAGTTGTCCTGTTATCTGGAGTCGATATATTAGTAAATACAGAACAGGACTAAATAATAGATTATACTTGATGCATTTAAGCAGGCAACGTACCAAAACCCTGAAAAAATTGTAGAAACGGTGAAAAGCATAATGGGAATCTTAGTCGATCAGGGAGCTACGTGCACATTTGCAACAGCCGGACCAGTCAGAAGCCGTTTCGCAAAATTTAAAAAACAGTGAGTAACTACTGAAGCAAAAATTCAACTCATACGTCATCAGGTCATACGTGGAGGTGGCATCCGCTAGTATGCCACCTTTTGTGTGCTTGAATCAGATAATAGACACCATGTCGTGATACAAGTGTCGAATGGAGTTTCAGAAATTCAGTTACGCAATAAATCTACTCTGTCTGACGCCAGCGTCAAGCAGTCGCAGCCACGTGATTTGCTTGTACAAGGCAGACTCTTTTTGAATGCCTTGGATAAGGGCAGCATAAACTTGGAGGAATATTTTTCAAAGTAGAAACTCCACTGAATGCGCTAGCTATCTTGTGTGAAGCCGATGCACAGAATTCGGTGTAATGACTGGTACAATAGTCGCCGGCTATTAAGCCCACCTCGGGCTCAGACCAAATTGGGCTTAGTAAGCGGCAGGCTTATTAACCGTGGGCTTAATGCAGCAGTCA